TCGGCTTGCCAACAGCCCCCCTGACATTAGCCTGTAGGACACCTTGATAAATGTGGGAATTAATTTTCCCTCCACAGTGGTGTTAGGTATTTTTAGTCAGATAGATATTGGTTAGATACTTGATGTATTAGAAATGTTTAGTGTAGACAGGATGTCTAGCTCAGGCTGTTAAATGCTTAGTCATTCTCATGAGTTACTGCAGGTTGCTTATGGTCAAGGATAACTAGATAGAAAGCTGATGACTGTTAGAAGACAGGATATTTAATATTATTATTATGACGTGGATAACCGTAGCCATAGACATAATATTTAATGTCATGACATGTCACTAGAGGTCGTGTTAGAATGTTTTAGATACACACCACATAATCAACAAACATTCACACATTGATTTTCTTCATGTTTTGACTACTGCTCTGGCCAGCTGCAAAGCTGGCACCGGGAGACGTCACGGTTTGGCGTCTCTCTCTGTAGAATGGGGTTAGCCTGAAGTGATATAATGTATAGGCCTGTTGTGGTTCGGGGTCTTTAATCTTTCAGCTGCCTGCGTGCATGTTGGAGGTGCAAAGATACCTGAGCGTGTAATGTTAATTTTTTTTACCTGTGTTCATTGAATAAATCAGCACTGTTTTGAAGTTACTTGGCCGCCTTCGTCTCTCAGAGTTAGCGTGGTTAAAAGTACCGGGTCCAACAGTGGCAACCGGTCAAGGTCCAGAGCACAGCTCTCTCTGCTGTACTTCACTGCTGGGATGATGTTTTTTTTGTTGGTACGCGGTTTTTTTTTTACGCCATACGTAGTGCTGTATGTTCTTCATGAACAATTCCACCTTAATTTTGTCTGTCCACAGGACATTTTCCCAGTAGTGTTGTGGAGTGTCAAGGTGGTCTTTGGCAAACTTCAGGCCTGCTGCAGTGTTTTTTTTGGAGAGCAATGGCTGCCTCCATGGTGCCCTGTAAGAATCTACCAGGCCTATACATTATATCTCTTCGGTTGGGCTAGCCCCATACTACACAGAAATGTCAACCGAGACGTCTCTGTTGCCAGCTTTGCAGCTGGACATAGCAGTAGTCAAAACATGAAGCAAATCAATGTGTGTGTGTCTGTTGATTAAGTGGTGTGTAGCTTAAAACATTCTCACACGACCTCTAGTAACATGTTGTGACTTAAACATAAGAACATATTATGGCTAAGGCTACAGTTATACACGTCATAATAATAATATTAAACATCCTGTCTGCTGACAGTCATCAACTCTTCTCTCTAGTATCCTTGACCAGATGTACCCTGTAGAAACTCATAAGCATGACTAAGCATTTAACAGTCTAACTAGACATCCTATCTCCACTAAACATTTCTAATACATAAAGTATCTATCCAATATCTATCTGACTAAAAATACCTAACAGTTGACTCATGAACAGAGTTTGGCTAACTCCAGTGAATCCTTCAAGTCTTTAGCTGTTACTCTAAGGTTCTTCTATACCTCAATGAGCATTCTGTGTTGTGTCCAAGTGGACCTTTGTGCCAAATTTGAAGAAATTCCTTTAAGGTGTTTTTGAGATATTGTGTTCACAAGAATGCAATGAATGTAAGATCACAGTGACCTTAATCTTTGTCCTGCATTCACAAGAATGGGCTGGACGGACAACCCAAAATCATAATGCTTCCACATGCAGCTATTGTCAACATGGAAGCATAGAAACTAAATATAAAAGTAAAGAAAAGCCCTATTGAGCTGCCATCTAGTATGTGTAGTTTACACTCTAATGGGCAATCACAAGTATCCCCTGACAAGACAGAAATCTGAGCCATATTCATACCACTTTCTCCCTCCCTTACTCGCTTATCTCAACAAGCATTTTCTAAACCTCTTCAGTATGTGCAAAGAGGGTGCTGCAGTTAAGTGTAATTACTGTTTAAACATCAAATCATTCTCACAAAAAGTGAGTTGTTGCTTTAATGTGAGGACTGCTGTTGAACCACAGGGACTGATCTCATAGAGACACACCAGAGAGCTTTCCTCACAGATTAGATTTCAGAGAGAGATGCAGGGAACAGTTTGTACTACAGCATGTGCCAATGATGTTGACAAGGCTGCAGATGGAAGATGTGAAGACAGGAACGGTCACAGTTATTTTCATGCTAGACCTCTGACTAAACCTGTAATCTCATTCAACACACACGACAGTAATAGGATGTCTTGCCCACACATCCACCCTGCCTACCTGCAGGTTGTCCTCCATGACACAGCGGATCTTCTCCACCACATCAATGCGGCGCTGTCGGTGCAGGACGTTGATCAACTTGGCTAGGTTGGCATCACTGTCCCAGATGGTCCAGTGCTGCAGGGCTGCGTATGCCCGTGCATGATCTGATGAGTAGTCACTGGAGAAGGCTGCCACCTCACACCCTGTAGCGTTAGCCAGTGACTGATAGATGTCGATCCACTGGGTGCCCACCTGGGCTGCCACCAGCTTCAGTATATCCACCCCTGATCAGAGACAGAAAAATGAGAGAAAGTTAAAGAAAGTGGCTTGTCATAATTTTTGAGGACTCAGCCACACAATGTAAAAAGGAAAAGAAAAGGGAACGTGGGTGATTGTTCATTTCCTTCTAATTGAAGAATGTAGGTCAGTAAGTAACATACTGTAGGCAAACAAATTGCCTCACTTCTAACTGATGGAGCCCTCATGTCATGCTCCACACAATACACCATTTTTCTCTTTCCTCTTTCTGTCAATTCCTCAGAAAACCTCTACCTGTCCAGATAACTGGAGTAGAATTAGCAATGTTAGATATTTTTAGTCAGATAGATATTGGATAGATACTTTATGTATTAGAAATGTTAGTGGAGAGAGGATGTCTAGTTAGACTGTTAAATGCTTAGGCATGCTTATGAGTTTCTACAGGGTACATCTGGTCAAGGATAACTAGAGAGAAGAGTTGATGACTGTCAGCAGACAGGGCGTTTAATATTATTATTATGATGTGTATAACTGTAGCCTTAGCCATAATATGTTCTTATGTTTAAGTCACGACATGTTACTAGAGGTCGTGAGAATGTTTTTAG